AATTTAATATCTGATAAAATATTATTATTTCATTATATAACAATATAATGGATCAAAAGAAATTTTCTGTAAGTGAATTTGTTGTTCTTTTAATGGAGAACATTATGAAAAGATAGATGAATGCAATAGACCTGGATTAGTATCACGAAGGACGCCTAGCTTGCGCATACTTAGGTGTGTCCTGGCACGTTCATCTTATTTTAGAACATGTTCATCTAAATTTCAACGATGAAAATGGTACATTTTTATAGATGAAATTTAGATGAACATGTTCTAAAATAAGATGAACGTGTTACATAATAAAATGAACATGTTACAGAATAAGATGAACATGTTACATAATAAAATGAACATGTTATAGAATAAGATGAATATGTTACATACACAATAAGGTGAACATGTTACATAATAAAATGAACTTGTTATAGAATAAGATGAACATGTTATAGAATAAGATGAACATGTTACATAATATAAATGAACATGTTATAGAATAAGATGAACATGTTACATAATAAAATGAACATGTTATATTATGTATTGTTTCAGTCTACAATTTGTAACATTTTCATCATATTTGAAAACATATTCATTTTATTATGTAACATGTTCATTATATGTCAGTATAATAAAATAATTACGAAAAAACAAAAAATTAGTTGTGTTCGAAAACCTATCAAATGTGGTCTCTATTTATAGATAATGAAAAATTATGAATTTTGGTATTTTTATTTTATTTTTTTGATATAAATAATTAATGATATTTTAATTTATGTAATATGTTTCATTTTTCAATTAAAAATTGAAAAATAGGAATGTGCACTACACTCTCCAAATTTTATTGCCTTTGGGGTGAGGGAGGCGCGTGCACAAACTGTCCTGGCACACCTAGCTAGGTGTGCCAGGGCACACGGTAGTGCTACTGCGCCTAGCTAGCGTCCAAGCTAGCTAAAGAAAGCTATAGCCATCTTGCTTGAGTAGATTGTAATTAGCCTTTGATAAAATTAGCTCATAATAAGATAGTTGATAGTTTATTAGTGATCAATTCAACTTTATGACTAAAAAACTAGCTGCTATGATAAAAGTGTTTGGTAATATTAACTAATAAGTCAATTTAAATAAAAATTCAAACGAGCTTATTTTAAGAATTACTCAAACAAGTTTATGAGATAAGCTTGATTTTTTTTTTCTTAAAGCTTATCCTACCGAACCAAACTTACTTGTATACAGGAGACATATAAGTTAATCAAATAAATTATGCTCCATCCTATTTTTATTATATATCGTTTTGAGAAGCAACACGTTAATTAAGAATTTTTTTTCTTTCCAATATTAACCATATTTAATGGATGCTATATGAAGAGATATTGTGCATTGATGGAGGGTTAAAAATAGAAAATTATGAACAAAATAAGCCAAAATGACATTTATTTAATCAATAATTCATTAAGCCAAAATGATAAATTAATAATAAAAATAAAAGGGGGTAAACTAATTTATTATTCTTACCAAACACACTTTCACTACAATATAAAGAGCACATCACACATGCATAACACAATATGAGTGTATGTTAATGCAACCACAAAAAATTCAGTCTAAAATAAAGAATCATAATTAGTAAACCTCAGTACACATATATAGTTTGATGATCAATTTTTCTCTTGTGCTGATGAGGTTTGACTAATAAGTAGTACTGTTAGATTAGACCAATAATCTATGATAATCACCAAAACCTGATTATGACGGTGTGGACATACATCTTAGGTTGCCTAATGCTCAGCTTAATTAATTGCTTTAGTTAATTTGGATAATAATAATAATAATAATCATCTAAAGTTTAATTAGCCTTGCCTAGTTTGGACAAGAGAGATGAAGGGGCAGTGGGCCCCACCTCCCACCGCCCATGCGGCGGTGGTGCACACGCTGTCGACATGCCAAATCACCGGCTATCAAATCCCACCACTTTCTCTCTCATCACCTTCATCATCTCTCTGTAAATTTGACCTAACCCTAACCCACACAACACTTAGCTAGCCAGCTCCCCAAAAACCAAAGCCCACCCTAACACTAACACACACACTCTCTCTCTCTAAATGGTTAATATTTCAGCTCAAATCTTGGTGGGTCACTTTCATTCCCAACTTCTTCTCTCTATCTAAAGCCTAATTTTCTCCTTCTTCCCTGAAAAAAAATAAAATAAAAAAAGAAAAAAAGAAAGAAAGAAGAAAACATACAATGGATCACCTAACTCACGGACGCCCTCCGCCACCGCCGTTCGGCGGCGGCAGAGATCTCCAGCTCCACCACCGCTTTGGCCCCGACGACGGGCACTCCGCCAACGACGACGTCAAACTAGACCGGGACCTCCCCGCTCATACATCTGAAGCCAAGGGCTCGTCGTCGGCCGAGGCCGCCACGCGCCGGCCTCGCGGCCGGCCTGCGGGATCCAAGAACAAGCCGAAGCCACCAATCATCGTCACTCGGGACAGCGCTAACGCCCTCCGATCCCATGTCATGGAGGTCGCTGCCGGCTGCGACGTCCGCGGGAGCATCTCCGACTTCGCCGCCCGACGCCAGCGCGGCGTCTGCGTCCTCAGCGCCGCCGGATCTGTCGCCGACGTCGCACTCCGGCAGCCGGACGGATCCGCCGTCGTCAGCCTCCGCGGCCGGTTCGAGATCCTGTCCCTGTCCGGATCGTTCCTGCCGCCGCCGGCGCCTCCGGCGGCGTCTTCGCTGACAGTTTACCTCGCCGGCGGTCAGGGGCAGGTGCTGGGAGGGTCGGTGGTGGGACCCCTCGTGGCGTCCGGGCCAGTGGTGGTGATGGCGGCGTCGTTTGGGAACGCGGCTTACGAGCGGCTGCCGCTGGAGGAAGGGGAGGAGGGGCGGCTGTCCGGCGGCGGGCAGATGGGGCAGCTGCCCGGCACGGCCGGGCAGCAGACGGTGGGAGAGTATCAAGGGATGGGACAGCTCCCGGCGGAGGCTTACTGGGGAACAAATAGGCCGCCTTTCTGAAGAGATTATTATATATTTACAGATAATTTCAAATTGAAATTTGAAAAAAAAAATAATAATAAGAGGACTTTGGTTAATTTTTTAATTTTCTGTTTGAGATGATTAATTAATTTGGTTAATCAGTAGTTTGTTGTTTCGCAATTGATCTTTTTGTTAATTATTTTCTTGATTTTTCTTCTTCAATTATGAGAGCAGTTTTTAATATTTTTTTTTGGCGTTTATGCTGCATTTTCAAAAATATTTGGGGAAATGTACAAATTCATGAAATTTTTGTTGTTGTTGCTGTTGTTAAGTTCATTTAATTATTAGCATTTTGTAGTTCATATGAATTTTTTTTTATGTACAATTTCTATATTGCAATTTACATAAAGACCTAATTAATAGTTCATATGCTTTTTTTTATTAGCATTTTATAGTTAAATTTGAGTTTTGATTTATTTTTTTACTGTACAATTCATATACAATCGCCCTTATGTGTCATTCACTCATGATCAAGGGAATTATTGTAATTAACCACTTTAATTATGTGGGTTTTTTTTTGTTTCATTTTTCTTTGATTCTATTATATTATATTTTTATTTCATATTATATATTGTGACAAATTTGGTGTGTGAATCTGATAACTTGGGTAACAATCATAAAGATTCATCCCTTACTGGTGAAGAAAGGGGAGATTTTGTAGGTGTCCTTTTGTTGGTGGGTTGTTAGTTCCTTCAAAGTTTTTCTTACATTTACTTTTCAATATATATAACCTTTGTGCTGTACAATCTCATTAAACTAAATTTATTCAGACATCTTTTACTGTTAATTTAGTACGGCCTGTACATATATGTAGAATATAATTTCACAAAATTTTAGTATGAGATGGTGGCAGGTCAACTCATCAATTTTTTTTTTTTTTTTAAAATATACATATGTGTAGATATTGAAATTTAATATTTTAGTGTATTTATTTATTTTTTGACATAAATCTAAAATAAATAAGATATTTAATTAATAAAATATATATTTCTTGCTTACCAATCAAATATATTAAGATAAATAAAAATTTTAGAATAATCGATTATATCAAATTATGAAGGACCAATCAAACTCTCCTACACTTATAGATATTTATAGCTCTCCTCAAAACAAATCACACCTAAAAAATCAAAATCTTAACTCTCTTCAAGATTTTTAAAAACATTTTTGAAGATCGATGCAACTTTGATCTGCAATAAAATCTTCTAGACTCCGAAGTACACTCAAAGAAGAAGAAGTCCAAGAAAATGAAAAAGAGGTGGCGGTCCTTCGATCCAATAAATTAAGAGGCGACATTCATTTCTTTCAAATCATTCTAATAATATCAACAACGTTCAAATGACATTCAAGCCGCGTTTGTCGAGAACTTCAAGCAATATAGCGTTCAATCCAGAAAACACTATCAAGTCCTCAAGTCAACGTTAAGCCAAGATCCTTCTTCCAAGAAGATCAAAGA